TTGTACGAAAAACAAAGGGGAGGAAATTATACCCCATGTCCAAGCGTCTTGATGCTGACTATTTTTTACAACGGCGCTCCACAAATCAGCCTTGAGGGTTTCTAAATCTTCCTTTGAGGTAGGCAGCATCTGCCTGGCCTGGGTCCATCGTGGTAGATCCTTGCCAAGAGCTGCTCGTGCCGCATTATCCTCTACCCAATACACATCCTCCAGAGACATCACCTCCATCTGCATTAACCTGACGATACGAAAACACATCTATCTCGACTTTTCTTCTCGCGGAGAAGTCGTAACGTGTAAGTAACAGTTTTGATTATTCTCCAAAGAGATTATATAGGATCGTGTACGTTGAAATTCTGCTCACTTCTGGTAATGACTGTGCAAGCCATGGTCCGTCAACCATTGGCGTAAAACGAGCCTTTGTTGCAACAAACGTGCAGCGCGTTGCAATCGTTCCTCGTCTTGCGCTGGCAGTTGCGGTAACGCGTCCACCTCGCCACAGCTCGCAAGGGATGAGATACCTGTAACATTTAAATCGTTTTTCTTCTTCTTTTTCGACACTGACCCATTTCGGGGAAAAAGGGAAAGAAGAATTGTCAGGAATTCGTTGCATCGAGTTACTTTCGGGAAAACACGCTATCAGACGAATAGAGATATTTTTTTTTTTTTTTTTTTTTAATTAGAAGTCCATAGGAATTCAGCGATAGCACCGAGTATCTGTCGTGGAGAACGGACAGGAAGCAAGAGCTGATAAGTCGAAACGCGATGGCAAGTTGATTCCTTCGTCTATCCGTTTTTCATTGCGTCGTCATCAGTCGTAAAACCGTCGAACTGTGTATACCACTTAAAATGCGCTGTACATCGTTCTCCGTTATTCTGTTGTGCATTCTCAAGTGTATTGGATTCGTGCTTGCGATATGCACTATGGGCAAGCATGAAGGAGGTGAGGCAAATTCTTTCACTTCGACCACGTTAAATTTTCGATTGCCCCGACGGCGGGCTGGAAAAATTAGGACAAACAAACGAACAAATCCCTATCTTCTTCTTGAATGCGTCTTTTATTCAAGGAAGAGATAGGGGAACGTAAATTCTCCGGTATCAAATTGCTAAATAAACAATATCATTGAACGCAGGGCCAGCCAATCGTTTACAATGCTCGAACATCACTCTGCAAACAATTTCCGATCAAACGGCGAACATATCTGCTTTATTGGTCTTCAACTCAAACTTGCGGTACATCACGCAACGTGCTTTTGCCAAATATGCAAAACATTTGCACTCTCTGAACATTTACAATTGCCACGTGCACGACATTCATGCGGATGCGTTCGACGCCTTGTCTAGTTTAAAAAAGCTCAGCCTCCCCAGCAATAACATTACACAAGTGAAGGAAGCGTGGTTCAAGGATCTGGTGTACTTGGAACAACTGGACCTGTCGTTCAATCAAATCGAGAGAATCGAGCCGGCAGTTTTTGACAGACTACCACTGCTGAAACGATTTGACATCAAGGAGAATCGCTTGACGTGTTTGGATCCTCTAGCATTGCCGGCCGGTATCGATAAACTATATTTCTTCGGGAACCCTCTGACTTTCAAATGTCGAGGAAAGGTAAGATGCGCCACATTTCACTCACGTTTATTAAGAATTTAGAAACTCTGTCGGTTATTCTACGGACGCAGATTGCATTGCCGTGAAACGAATATTGCTGAATTCGGTTTATGTATTGATTCGAAAATTACAGCTGACTCTATGGATGCGAGACCATGAGGTAAGCTACAAAACCGAGCAGAACGAGAGGCAAACGTGGTTGGATAAGCTGCTTTGGCTCTGCGCCATCGGCGACGCGAACGTGGCCAAATCAGAAGTCCTGATGAAAGAATGCGTTATTCTAAATTTGTTCAATCAGCTTCGTACAGGCCTCAGTACTGCGGAATCGTATCCCTTGGCCGTGGACTGTGCTACTGAAAGGGATCGTTTGACGAACTGTATGATCACGGAGACACAGGCATTTCGTTCGATCACTAATGGATACGTGATCAAGAAACTACTCCTTTACATCCGTCAGACAAAGTCCAACTTTTAAAAGTAATTAATCGAGTGTAAAATGTAAAATAAATAGTGTAAGTTACACTAATTATAATTCCTATCGATGATTGAAATAAATTGCAAAGTCTTCGGTTAAGAGTTGAATTACGAAAGTTGATCCCG